ATATAGAACACCAAATAGACAGGACCAGAAAAGAAACTCCACAGCACATCAAATTAAAAACTCTAAACATATAGAAGAAAGAGACAATACTGAGAGCTGCAAAAGAAAAACAAGTCACATATAAAGGAAAACCCATCAGAATTACAGCCAACTTTTCAGTGCAAACTATGAAAGCCAGAAGAGCCTGGACCAAAGTAGTCCCAGTTCTAAATGACCACAGATGCCAACCCAGATTGCTATACACAGCCAAAATGTTTATTATAGTCAAAGGGGAAAGAAACATCTTCCATGATATAAATAGGCTGAAGGAATTCAGCAACCCAGATTGCTATACCCAGCCAAAATGTCTATTATAGTCAAAGGGGAAACAAACATCTTCCATGATATAAATAGGCTGAAGGAATTCATATGGGCCCGAGTTAGAACAACATGTTTGTGAGGCTTTCAAGTATGGTCATCTGGTTAATCTCAAACCAGGTCAGCCTTGATGTCTGGAAAACAGCTTTGCCAGGAATCAGGTCTTGCTATTTCCTGGGGTGGGGGCCTACGGCTCTCCACACCCATTGTCTCTGTTAGATATGTCAACAGGACAGAAAATTAACAGAGAGACATCTGAATTAAACAATACCGTACATCAAATGGCCCAACAGACATCTACACGATAGTCCACCCAAGCACCAAAGAATATACTTTCTATTAAGCGCCCCATGGAACTTTCTACAAAATCAATGATACACTGGGGCACAAAACAAGCTTGAAAAACTGCAAAAAGATTGAAATAATTTCATGCGTTCAAACAACACACTATTGAATGATGAATGTTTCAAAGGAGAAATTAATTAAGAAATAAAAGTACTCCTGGAACTAAATGAAAAGGACAATACAACACAACAAAACTTCTGGGACATACTGAAAGCAGTCCTTAGAGGGAAGTTTATAGCTCTAAGTGCCTACATTAAAAAAAATCAGAAGGAACACAAATAAATGACTTAACATTGCAGCTCATGACCCTTGAAAAGCAACAACAAATGAAACCCAAACCCAGCAGAGAAAAAATAACAAAAATCAGAGCAGAAATTAATGAAATAGAAACAAAGAAAACAATACAAAGAACCCACGAATCCTAGAGCTGGTTCTTTGAAAAGATAAACAAGACTGACAGACCGCTAGCCAAGTTAACCAAAAGAAAGAAAGAGAACCTCCAAATCAACAAAATTAGAGATGAAAGGGGAAACATCACAACAGACACCAAAAGGATCCAGAACATTATAAGGGAATATATTTGCTATGACATAGTAGCCCAATACTCAACACAAAAGAAAATAACCAGACATCCACATCACTTTGCCAAGGTTCAGGAAACACTGCAGATAAGAGAAGGAAAAGAATGCAAGAGCCAGGAGAAGGGTAGAATATTGTGTAGTGTTGTCCTCTGGACATAATCAGACACCTTGTATGAGCTCTTCACAGAACTGAGTCTGTTGACATTCCCTTATAGAGAGTGGGGAGAAGGTCAATGGACTCCCACCTGAGATTCAGTCACTCCTTCCTACACTCCCCTCCCAACTACATGTAATTCTTCCCCAGATGTAGGTCTTGTCTTGGGACATGCTAGACTACATATGAAATAAAGGGAAGAACTCCATGTTGCAGCTTCCTTAGGGGTCATCAGACTTACTGTGGTGGGATTTTTCTGTGATGTAGTCATTTGGGAGTCAGTCTCACTCTTTTTAAGTAACCCCTGTCCCATATTCCTGTGAGTTTGAGTCCAATAAACTCATTGGACTCATCATTTCATTGGTCTGTCAGTGGTGCCTTATCTGGGATAAAGAGATTATATCTGGGCTGGAGAGATGGCTCAGCGGTTAAGAACACCGCCTGTTCTTGCAGAAGACCCGGGTTCAAATCCCAGCATCCACATGGCAGCTAACGGCTGCCCGTAACTCCAGTCCCAGGGAATCTGACAGTCTCTTCTGTCCTCCGCAGGCATTGCACAACATGGGTACACTTACCTACATGTAGGCATAACACTCATACACATAAAAAATAAAAATAATAAATAAAATATTAAAAAAGAGACTATTTTTTCACAACTCCCAGGAAAAGTTAATGCAACAGCAGATATTTAAAGAAAGTCTTTCAGATGAGCACAAAATATTAAAAGAACTGGTAATGTTAAATAGTGACTATGCCAAAAGAAAAGGCATTGAATTCAATGTCTACAAAGGGCCAGGTGTTAAAGCTGGTCTCCTTGTGACAATGCTGGGAGATGCTATGGATCTTTAAGAAGGGACCTCAAAATCAGAATGACATTGTATTTCCCAAGAGGAACAAACAATGCCTTCAAAATTCTTAAAGCACTTCCATTCAGAACTCTAAAATTAGCTGACCAATGAAGTAAAAATACTTTTGGTTCTTTTTTTCTTCCCAAATATCTTTGTTTCAGGCATACACAAAGATTAATCAAAACAAAGTAGACTAAAAGAGAGAGAGAAGAATGCAAGAAACATTTAGAGAACTGCCAGGAGGATGGCAAAGGAAATCCCGAGCTAACAACTGTCCAGGAAGCTTTGAGCAAACGTATCCTAATTAGGGGAAGAGAGAAGAAGGTTCCAGGAAGCATGCTTTTAAGAGTAAGTAAAAGTGATGGAATATTTTATTTATAAATGTATACAAGAATTTTCACTAATCAAGGTTTGGGAATAAATTGTTTTATGAATACAAATTAAGCAATGAAAGACAAGATACCAAGTAAAATGAATGGCTCACTTGAGAATTAACTGTATGGCTCTAAACTCTGAATGGTCAGGTGAATTAAGTAAAGGCAGAATCAGGTGGCTGCTGATTTAAAGTGGTGATTTTATACAACAATAATGAGAATGAGAAGGGAAAATGTGGATATGATGGACTGTGCATATGCTGGAGACAGAAGATTAGACAGCTAAATACACAACTTCTAAAGGAATTAACTTATACTACATACAACTACAAGACCCAAGATATATAAGACTAGTACTTCAAATATACTAACACAAGGAAAAGATAAAGATTTCAAAGTCTTTACCCTAAAAAGCAGAACTTGTGAGAGCAAATGAGGACAAAGGATTATCTTTTATGCTATAGTCCTATTAATACTATCTGGCTTTTCAAACTATGGATAAAAATAACTTAAGAAAAAGTTTTGCATATTTTAAGGATACTTTAATTATCATGAGCCCAGAAACAGCAGCATGACCCTTATCAACCTCTAACAGTATCATAGTTTTCTATGTTACTAACAATATTAATGCAGAATAAAGAGATTAGGAACATACCTGCTTCGAGGTATTTTTTTAATGAGTCTTCAAGTGAAGGAACAGGTAATGATGGAAGAGAATCCTGGTACTGAAATGTTCGTTCTTCAACTGATTTAACCAACTGATTTTCCATGGTATAAGCACAGTAGGAAAGCTAAAGGAAAAAGAGACAGCCCTCACTTCAATCTCAGTAAGCATTTTTATATATACTAGTTCCAATTCACTAAACCAGTATTTAGGGATCACATTTATCCTGTATTGGTCCTAGTTCCCATGGAATTTACAAGCTTGTCAGATAAAACCAATTTGAATTTTTTTTTTTTTTTTGGTCTTTTTCTCACTATGTAGACCAGGCTGGCCTTGAACTCAGAGAATTTAGGCGTGAGCCTAAGGACTGGGCGTGGTGCTGCATGCCTTTAATCCCAGCACTTGGGAGGCAGAGGCTGGCAGATCTGAGCTCAAGGCCAGTCTGGTCTAGAGTTCAGGGAGACCTGTCTCAAAAAGACCAAAAATTCGTATGACAAGCTTTACAATGTAACTTAAATGTACAGATGGCATGGGGGCCCAATCAGAATGGCTTTGAGTATCACAAAGCAACACTGAGTATTTTCTGCACAAGTGGTAATTTTCATCAACATTAAACTAACCCCAAATATGAATATGGTACATCAGCACTAAAAAAATAAACAAGATTTCTGAGAGAATTCTTAATAAATTCCATATAAAATACCAAGTAAGAAAACAATGAATAATCAATACAGAATAAAAAAACTTTGTTTTTTCATGTCCTTTTTAAAAATAGCAAAGTCAAACAAAATATTCTACTCATAGATCACAGAATTAAATATCAGAAAAAAAGGCATGGTGGATTGTTTTCAGCCAAAACCCTTTCCCTCTTTCTTAAAGGAATCTACAATTTTTGTTGGATATCTAGTGATCTAACTATAATTTTCCTATCCTTCCATGGAGCTCAGTGTAGCCTTGTGACAGATATGTCACCTTCAGGTCATAGCCCAGTTCTTTCCCTCCTTCTGGAGGCTGACCAGGTAGTGCAAACCAGAACAAGCACCTTGGACCAATTTACGAAAGTCTTTTGTTGCCAGGCATGGTGGCACACGCCTTTAATCCCAGCACTCGGGAGGCAGAGGCAGGCAGATCTCCGTGAGTTCAAGGCCAGCCTGGTCTACATAGTGAGTTCCAGTACAGCTGGGGCTACAGGGAGACCCTGTCTCAAAAAAAGAATCCATCTTGAAGCACCCATATTACAGACTACAGTAGGCAAAATTTCTATGAATGGCCTCAAATCCCACCCCCTCTAATCCCCAGAATTTGTCACTTTGATGACATCATTACGTCAGTGGTTACAATTATACTTCATCTACAGAACTGAGCTTAAAATACCGCATACCTAATTTAATCATTGGAGCAGAGATATTGCTGCTGACTTTGAATATGCCCATGGACTTGCTGAGACAAATGGTACTGACAATGAGGTGATGGGACCTTAGTTTTACTGCAAATGGGTAGGAATTAAAGTCTGCTAACTTGAATGAACCTGGAAGAGGATTATCCCTATAGCCTCAGAAAATAGAACACAGAAATTTTGCTTTCTACTTTGTGAGATTTTATGCAGTGTAAGCAGCTCAACTCACTCAGACTTCAGATCTAAAGAAGCTATAGTGAGCTTGTGTTGATTTAACACCTACGCTTATAATCTGTTATAGCAGAAGAGGAAACTAATACATACAAGCAAAGAAAAGCTAGTCTCTGTATACCTTCTTATCACTTAATAGACTCTAGAAAATGGAGATGAAGAGTACTAATTTTATGCCTACTACAGTGCTTAATCTTCCCCAACGGCTAACATTAAAAATATGATTAGATTCTTTAAGAGTTGTCTTAAATTTTTAATCACAAAGATTGTTAAATAATATAACTCCAATAACATTAAGAAAATGATTACAGGGGGCTGGAGAGATGGCTTAGCTGTTAAGAGTACTGACTGCTCTTGCAGAGGACCCAGGTTTGAATCCAGCACCCACACAGCAGCTAATAACCGTAGGCAACTCCAGTTCCAGGGGATAGGTCACCCTCTTCTGACCTCCAAGGGCACTGCACAACACGGGTGCATTTACATACATCAGGCAATACACATACACATTTAAAACAAAAAAGATTAGAATGGACCTCCTGGGAACAGTATCATGTGAACTCATGTAAGTGGAAAAGGGAACTGGGAAAAGTAAGCAAACAGATTATCACATACCAGTAAACCAAGATGAACTGTTTGGGACTGCTAGGAGTCTGTTGAGACAATTCTGGTTTGAAACCACAAGGACTTCAACAAGGCTGGTGACTGTAAGAAAAAATGAACCAAAAAAAATAAAAGCTAGTGACAGAAGCTGGAAAGTGGAAGATGATCTGGAAGAGGAGAGGCCCATGACTCAAACTTTTATAAATCACTGCAAATACAGTGTTTGCTGGATAGCAGGTTTAAATCACTACAGAGCTAGCCACGTTCCAGGGACCCACTTTTCCATAAGATGGATTCAAAGGGCACAGGATAGCTGCTTGTGCCCGGGTATCTGTGCCAGCAGCGGGGCTGAAGCAGGAGCTCAGCGCAACCACAGCTTAGAGACTCCTCCCATCAACCCAGAGCACTGCACACTCAAGAACACAAGTGAAAAAACAGAGAAACACACCTCAGGGGTACCTCAGACCGACATCTTTGAGGACATCCCTCCCACGCCAGACCCGAGCACCTCCGTAGCTCCACCCGACTTCACTCGGCTCTGAGATTCAACCCAGCTTGCCCCAACGGCCAGGGAGGGCCAGGAGGGAGTGCGACAGGAAGGGGAGCGCAGGATCAGCCTGCCGGCCCTCACTCGCCAGCCGTACTTGGCCTGCACCCCACCCACCAGCAAACTCCGCACCTAGAAGTGCGAATTGGATGCAAAGCCGCGAGGGTCCCGCCCCGTGCACGTCAGGGAACCGGATTGGACGGAAAGCCGCGAGGGTCCCACCCCGCCCTCGAAGGGACACGCGGGTCTCGGGCTGGGGCGGCTTATTGGTTTATAAAAGAATAGTTTCAATTTTTAGTACTTGAGGAGAGTGACGGGCGGTGTGTGCGTACTTCATTGCTGAGTTCAATTAAGCTCTCTATTCTTAATTTACTACTAAATCCTCCTTCACCCTTCCGGCGTCTGCTCTTAGCGGACCTGGGGGAAGCGTGCTGGACGTCCTCAGCGCTCCGCAGTCTTCCTGCAGCAGCTTCCTGCCTCAGGCTGCCTCGGCCCCTGTTGTGGGAGATGCCCCAGAAGATGGCGGGGGCTCCGCCCACGCGCGGGCCCTACCCTCCTCGGTGGCTACGGAAACCGCTGGCTCAGCCTAGTTTTCACCCACGCACTTTGGGACTAGGCGCCGATTTCCTTCCTCCTGACTGTCGCCCCACCCCTTTGTGAGTGCTACTCTTTCTGCTTTGCCCAAGCAGAGCTTGCCCCAGAGTTTTAGAGGAATCTTATTGTTCAGTGTTGTGCTGGCAACAGAATCGTGAGCGCAGACTCTGCTTAGTCTTCTGACCACTGTCTTGAGCCTGAAGTTTGCCCAACTGGGACATCTTGCGCCTGGCCCTCTGCAGAGAGTCCTAGTACTCTCCAGCGATGTAGACGCTGCGGACTTGTGGCTGGTCTGTTGTTTTTATTGACGCCAAGAAGTAGCGGTTAATTCTTTTTGTTATAGGTTTTCTAGTTAATTCATTATGCAAAAGGTACAAGGGTTAATCTTTGCTTTGTTGTACTTTGAATTATTCTTTCATCTTTCCCTTACGGTACTGTCTCTATAGCGCCTTGTAATAATTTCTATCTCCTATACTTTTATTTAGGTAGTAAATGTTTTGATTTATTGTGTGATAATAATTTAGTTGAGTAGTGGTTGGGCTAGGAATGGTTCAGAGCGTCCTTGGTGATGGAATCTTCGGGGTGTAGGCCAGATGCTTTATATAAGCTACGCTTTGGTTTTGCCAAGCACACTTTCCAGTATGCTTACCTTGTTACGACTTGTCTCCTCTAATATTTATTATTGGCTTATAAATTAATAGTTTCAATTTTAGTACTTGAGGAGAGTGACGGGCGTTGTGTGCGTACTTCATTGCTGAGTTCAATTAAGCTCTCTATTCTTAATTTACTACTAAATCCTCCTTCACCCTTCCGGCGTCTGCTCTTAGCGGACCTGGGGGAAGCGTGCTGGACGTCCTCAGCGCTCCGCAGTCTTCCTGCAGCAGCTTCCTGCCTCAGGCTGCCTCGGCCCCTGTTGTGGGAGATGCCCCAGAAGATGGCGGGGGCTCCGCCCACGCGCGGGCCCTACCCTCCTCGGTGGCTACGGAAACCGCTGGCTCAGCCTAGTTTTCACCCACGCACTTTGGGACTAGGCGCCGATTTCCTTCCTCCTGACTGTCGCCCCACCCCTTTGTGAGTGCTACTCCTTCTGCTTTGCCCAAGCAGAACTTGCCCCGGAGTTTTAGAGGAATCTTATTGTTCACTGTTGTGCTGGCAACAGAATCGTGAGCGCAGACTCTGCTTAGTCTTCTGACCACTGTCTTGAGCCTGAAGTTTGCCCAACTGGGACATCCACACTCTGCGCCATGCCATGCGCCTGGCCCTCTGCAGAGTCCTAGTACTCTCCAGCGATGTAGACGCTGCGGACTTGTGGCTGGTCTGTTGTTTTTATTGACGCCAAGAAGTAGCGGTTTTAATCAGTGGAGCTGGACAAGTTTTAGAGGAAAACTAGGAGGTTAATTTAGTTTTACAGGTCATTTCATTTTTTTACTTACCTCCTGAAAGAAAATTGTTTCATTTCTTAGGCTTATATATGTATTTCTTCCACTGGTTTTCGTGGAAGGAAAAAAATTACATTGCACTAGTTATAAAGTATGGTTTAAATAACGAGATTTCAAATGAACATATTAAAAGTCTCTTTCTTAATTCCTTTGATAGTAAAGTCTGGCCCAGAGGAGTTGAGGCTGAAGGACTCACTGAAGGACTAGGTGTGCATATTTCTACAGAAATATTAATGTATTTCATGCCAGTGTAGCTTGCTGGAGTTACACAATAAATAGCTTGAACCACCTTTCTAAACTTGTGATGGTAATGATGTAATAACCTTTTATTTTTT